AGTTCAAAGAATGCAGTTAGCTGGGCACATTTAAAATCTGCTTTAAATTTGTATCTGTGTTTAACATGTTTCGCTTTGGCAAAATTTTTATGTGTAATTTGCAAATAAAACTATTTCACAGCTAATTTTTTGTTTACTTTTCAAAAATATTAGTGTTCACATTGTAGCAAAAATATATTTGATACAATATATTTAACTGGTGTCAACATACATAGCATTAAATTATGTGGCAATTTTATGAATTCAGAAAATATTATAAAATCAAAATTTATTACTTACATATAATGATGCTCATCAACAACTTTCCATCCCTTTATTTGAGATAATCTATAGTCACTAACGAATACTTCAAGTGGAAATTCTGGCATCCAAACTATAAATTTTGCAAGTCCAATATATGTACCGTATTTTACGATTATTGAAGCATTTGATGAACCACGTATTTCAGAGCCATCAACGTATACAGAACTACAAGACGAAGAAACCTATAAAATAAATCAAAAATTAAATATCTATATTATTGGTTTTCACGGGAATTTCCGGGACGGGGAATTCCGCAGAATTTTCAATCCCCAATACCAAAGAAATTGTGCGGAAATTCCCGGATATTATTTTCTTTAGTTTTATGTGATATTTTTGACAAAAATGTTATTTACAATAAATATAGATATTTATGTGTAGTGTTAAATTCAGAGAAGATATATTAAAAGGTTATAAAAACTTAGAAACAAATTGCTAATACATTATTATTTTTAAGCAATTTATTGACAAAAAACTGATTTTCTGAAATTTTCCTATGAGAAGAGTATTTGCAAAATTTGATAAAATGTTCTTTATAATTGGCACCTATAGTTTGACTGAGATGTGATTATATAGACGGACAGGCAGACTTTACGATGGGTGTAGCGACAATATTTATATTAATTACAAATGTGTCAAGTGACCCAACTCAAAAAATCGATTTGGATGAAATTTGCACCAAGGTTAGTACTATTGGATATTAGGCCAAATTTTCAGCTCTATCGGTCAAGAACTGTCGGACTTAGAGGGGTCAAAATTGGACATTTTGGTCATACAGGGTTTTATTGAAATGAGTGTAACTTTTCATCTATTGGTCCAAGCAAATATTGTCCAAGGAGTTCAGATAGCTATTTCTTAATTGTTTCTAAAATTTTTTTTAACTTCCTTTTTTAACTCAAGACTACGTTTTTTTTGTTGTATGTATGTATGTATGTATGTATGTATGTATGTATGTATGTATGTATGTATGTATGTATGTATGTATGTAGTATGTATGTATGTATGTATGTATGTATGTATGTATGTATGTATGTGTATGTATGTATGTATGTATGTATGTATGTATGTATGTATGTATGTATGTATGTATGTATGTATGTATTGTATTGTATGTATGTATGTATGTATGTATGTATGTATGTATGTATGTATGTATGTATGTATGTATGTATGTATGTATGTATGTATGTATGTATGTATGTATGTATGTATGTATGTATGTATGTATGTATGTATGTATGTATGTATGTATGTATGTATGTAGTATGTATGTATGTATGTCTGTATGTATGTATGTATGTATGTATGTATGTATGTATGTATGTATGTATGTATGTATGTATGTATGTCTGTATGTATGTATGTATGTCCAGCAGCTATTTTTGGAAGATTGTTGGATGATTAATCAGTAAACTGAGTCATTTTTCACTCCTTTTGATGACCTAAAAGTGATCAATAAGTTAATGATTCGAAAATGATCCCGATACAGTACTTTTTGCTTATAGTCCATTCCGCTTAAAGACTACTTTGCAGGTTTTTTTTCAAATATCATACAAATTATTTGTTCTTAAGTCCACTTAGCCTATAGTCCATTTTCGTTTAAAGGCCAAATTTTCTTTGCATGCATAACTAATTTTGTATAGAAAAAATATTTTATATAGTCCACCCAGTTTTTTAATACTTTATTTAAACAAACTGGCAAACTAATTTTCTGAAAAAATATAATTATTTATTTTAAATTCTTTAAAAAAGAAACATTCATATAAAATTTTAAATGTTTTACATTCTTCTTTCTGAATACAGGCCTTAAAATTAATCTCATAATTTAACTTTTTTGTTTTTTATTACAATAAGCTTTTATTTTTTTTTAAAGTGGTTTTATTGAAGAAAGTACATACTTTGTATATAGTCCAAAATGTGTATTATATCAAGATTCAGTTATTCAAAAAACATCTCTTATAAAGAACTTGGTTATTACGAATCCTCGTATAAAACGAACTACTTTTTCAGTCCCTCATTAATGACTCAAAAAAATTAAAAGATGAGTCAGAACTGATCAGAAGAGGTGCGCATAAAGACTCGTTTAGATGAATCGCGGGTAGGGTAGCATTTTCTCCCGAAGAAAGTATCAATTATGATCAGAAAATATACGATCATTTTAATGTGAAAAAAATTTAAAAAAAATGCTAGCTGGTTGTATGTATGTTTGTCTGGAAAGAACTTAAGGCTACTTTTTATTTCGAAATTTCAAGTGGGCGAGATGCCAGGCCCACTTACAAAATAAGTATTAAAAGTCTCATATGTCAGAAAGTACAACAGCTAGAATCGTCAAATTTTGTATGGACAACACAAATTTCACATCCATATAAATATATGGGTACAAAATTAGTGGCTTAGCTGTAGTGTAAGTGGAACCTTCCAAATAAAGGCAGAGTTCTCAAATTTTATCGGAACCATTTTAGTGTCAATATGAGTATTTAAGACAAAAAATGGGCGGACTATTAATAGGGGACGTGGCACCCCCATATGAATTTTATACAACAAATTTTTCTGTAAACTATTAGAGGTAGAATTTTCAAATTTAACACGAACAGCTTTGAAATCCATTTGGGGGGAAATGGGCGGACTAGAAATGGGGCCATGGTACATCCCACATAAAAAACTTAAATCTTCAAATTTTGTACGAAAAACATTGACATCGGTGTGAACATTTATGTAATAATTTAGCGGACTAGGAAAAAAAGAGTGGAACCTCCCTTATGAATTAAATAAAAAATTCGTTTATTTAGAACAGCGGTTCCCACCGTTTTTTACTTCGCGGACCCCTTGAGGAATTTATTTAATTTCACGGACCCCCATACATATTTTGATATCTTATTGTTATAAATAATTGTTCATCCGAAAATTGTTTTAGTCCTGGTCCATAAACCCTATAAAATATTCCCGTTCATTGAGAATATTTAGTATTTCGGAAATGTTTTCAATTGCATGGTTTTAAATATAGAATGACTTCTAACACGATGTTTAATTTTATGATCGTGAGAGCTTTCATGTTCATTTCTCGTCAAGGTAGCGAAAAGGTTTCTTTATCAAGTATTGCCGACATGTGCTTAAAGAGTCATGTTTCCAAATTTTTTTGCGATTGCATAGGAGTGAGTTGAGTATGTAAGCTAAGTTTTCGGGAAAATATGTGAAAGTTAGACTTCTTCGATGTTGTTGCGGAATGCGTTACCCACATAAAATATGACCTGAACTCTTTGCGAATGTACTGTGAATTTGGATCTTAAATTTGAATTTTAAAATACCTACGAATTATTTCACTGCGTTGTTTTGACTATTTACGCAAAACGCAATGAATTTTCTGATGTTGATTTAATAATATTGGACAACAAAATGAAGTTAAAATCTGTGTATCACGTCGGAATGGAATATTTATATTTAAAATTAACTAGATTAACACTTTTGCTTACAATTTAAAAAAATATTATGAAAAGGTCACATTTCTTCATATTCCGGGATACCAGTATCTGTATTTAATTCTAAGGCAAATCATTATCCGTCTGATATAAAAACCAGAGACAGTAATTGTTATTATTTTTATTTAAAAAAATTAAAATTACAAATTTTATTTGGTTTGTATTTCATTTCTCAGAAAATACAAATTGCTTTTGATTTGAATTTCTTATATTTTCCGTAAAAATTACTGAGAACTTTTTCAAATAAAAATCAATAATAAAAAACACAAATAATTTTTAAACCATAAGGCACAAATAAAAATCAGGCAATGATTTTTATTTTTTGAAATTAATTATAAAACTCATTATGCGATATTTACCTTTAAAAACACATTAAAAATGATCGGGTTTAAACAGAGATTAATAGAAAATTGGTAAAATTTCTTTACCGCTGATATCATCAACCAAATTTGCAGAAATTAGATTCGAAAATTGGAAAATTAATATTTTTTAGGTGATTTTTATTCTTTGCTTTGAAAAATAAAAATCATTGATTGATTTCTATTTTTTGTTTGAATAAATAAAAATTACTGAATGAGTATTATTAAAAACAACATAAATAATTTTTTATTGAAACAAATAGAATAAAAATCAAAAATAATTTTTATTTTCAATTTTTATTATAAAAATCAAGAAAAAAAGTTTATTGAAGAAATCGATTAAAAAAGGTCTGGGAAATATTTTGGTACATTCAAAACATTTCTAGGACGATTCTTTCATACTGATTTTTTTAAGCAAAAATTTCATAGATAATAATTATTTTCTGTCTCTGATAAAAACATTTATTTCGATACATATACATTTATAAAAAAAATTACAAATCACGTACTACTTTACTTTATAAAAGTAAAACAATAAATTTGTAGGGCCTAGCTTCATCCTGATAAACGACCGAAACAATAAAATTCAAAAAGTCACCAACAAATCTGGGATTATTGAATAAAAATTGTGTATTTTAGTATTTACGAAAAAATTGGAGATATTTTTAATATTTTCTAACATATAGAGAATATTTTTTATTCATGATTTTTTTCGTTCGTCTTCGCGGACCCCCTAGGATTTTGCTACGGACCACTAGGGGTCCGCGGACCCCCTTTTGGGAACCGTTGATTTAGAAAACTATTAGAGCTAGAATCTTAAAATTTTGCACGAAGAACTCTAACATGTGAACATTTAGGAGAAAAATGACGGTCTTTTATTAGGTAAAAATAAAAATTAAATACAAAAATTCGTATATCTGAGGAACTGTTAGAACTAAAATTCTTAAATATAGTATGAAAACTCTGACATCAATGTGAACATTTGTGTAGTAATTTAGCGGGCTAGGAAAAAGGCGGAAGTGGAACCTCTCATATGAATTGAATACAAAATTGCTATATATGAAAAATTAATAGATTATTAGACTTTGAAATGCTCCTCCTATAGGGGAGACAGTGGCAGATTCGGCACTTTTTGTTTAGAGCTCTATATCTAAGTACTTATTCAACAGATATAAAAATGTTGTCGCTGGTTATTGTTCTAAGATAATGAATGATAAAAACTCGAACCAAAAACTTATGATAAATTAGTATTATATTTTTAGAGTTTGTCCAGTCAGATTCGCCGAAGGTGCCCCTAACCGGGATAGCTGTGGCATTTGATGGGGCACATTCGTCGCCCACATTCCCAAA